GTGTGTGTGTGTGTGTGTGTGTGTGCAGAAATATAGTTTTTTAAAAGTGTGCTATATTTATGGGATAAAGTGTTCAATATCAGAGATAGGGCGTATGTAAATATAAATATAAAAGTGAACATTGAAGTCAACACTCAGAGGCGACAGGTTGTTACATGCTAGACGCAACCGTCTAGCATTAAACAGCCTGTCGCCTCTGTGTATTGACATCAATGTTCGCTTTTATATTTTTTATATATATATATATATATAACAAGATTGCTGCCTAAACACACACACAAACACACAGACACACACATATATATATATATATAACAGTTACTTATATATATATAAAAAGTAATAGTTACTTTTATATATATATATATATATATATATATATATATATATATATGTGTGTGTGTGTGTGTGTGTGTGTGTGTGTGTGTTTTAGGTAGCAATCTTTCTTTCATGCACATTACATTGAATACGACAGACAAGGTGCTTTGATTTAGTTTTTTATACAATTTCTCATGTGATCTAATCATTTTTTGTCGAATGATAAATTATATAAAAACTGTCCAATTGTTCTTTTTATCCGAGCGCTTTCGGCTATACATTTATCCATTTTCAAGGTTGAAATATATTAACTGTTAACTGTGAAATAGATTGTTGTATGGATGCATTTATATAATGTTTTCATTTTGAAAACACCGTCAAGATATTGTGTCCCTGTTCATAGTCGATATTATTAAGTTTTTGTTTTTTTCGATTTTATTAATAAGACTTTCATTATTTTTAGCCTTTTTTGCATGCAGATGATGGTATTGTATTTGTGTTGTCAACAAGTATGTTACGAATAGGGTCCCGTAGGTCTCCATTGGTATTTAAATGAGACCTAATTGAGCCGTGGTCAGAAAGGTGTAGTGTGAGTCTTTGTGTCAAAGATGTTATAGTGTGGCCTATATAATTATTTACGAATTTTTATTGATCAGGAATACAATTCCTTAATAGACGTTTAAATTCGTAAATAATATTTGTCCTATTTAATTTTACATTAAGAATTGGACAAAGTCCGACAATTTATTAAAGACATTTTTATGTTTAACATTCTTTTTTTTTTTTTAGATACAAGTATTTAAGTAAATGCTCTGTTTATAATAAACAGTATTAAATAACATTTACCGGCCTGAATGTCCGAGAAATTTTCATAGAAAATATTCGTCCTTTGACAGGATTCGAACCTGCATCCTATACGGGGGTTAAGGCACGTCAGCGTAAATGACGGTTCCGTATAGGATGCAGGTTCGAATCCTGTCAAAGGACGAATATTTTCTATGAAAATTTCAGGCCGGTAAATGTTATTTAATACTGTTTATTATAAACAGAGCATTTACTATTTAATTTTGTTCTAAGGGGTAAATTATTATTTTTAACTATAAGTTTAGAGGTTTTAAATTTTTTGTAATAAAAAATTAATCTAATTTTTTGCTATTGTCAACTGGTGTTGTGCATTTTTTTATAATATTCTTTGTTCTATTTTCGTCGTATTTGTAATTTTCGTATTTGATTTTTTCTAAAAAATATTAATGTTATTGTTTATGTTTCTATTCTCGACGTTGCTATTAGCTACCTTAGACAGAAAAAAGCCTAGTATGGAAATCCAAAAATTGATTACGAAATACGTTATTAATAAACGTGTGTTTTATGTTATGTAATTTCTAAGAATTAAACTGTAGGAATAGACATGTATTAAAGAAAAAAGATAATAGGAAAACTGTGGATTTAGACAACACGTTTCATCCAATGTGGACTTTTTCAAGGCAAAAAACTAAAAGAATTTATTGAAACAAAGTATCTAAAAACAAAAAACAAAATCTCGTTAGCAACTACAAGAATTTAGAAACGCATAGTACATTCATATGGTCAACTGAAAAATTACGTCAATTACTTAATGTTTGAAGACAACATTTTCACATGTAGAAATATTGTTCGTATTGTTGTGTTGACTGATTCAACCATTTTCTTTTGATTTCTTGGTATATTTGTTGTGTACGTTGGCCTTGGAAGAGTAGTGATTCTGTTAGGAAAGGTGATATTGGGAAAAAAGCTGAGCGTAGATTAATAATTGGATAATATTCAATGGCGGCACTCTCGAAGATTTTCCTTCTGAGTGAATTATTTTCTTTTTTTAAAAAGACACCCCTCCCACATAGCACAATGGCATCATCAGGCTCGAAAGTACACGGAAATAAACGAAATATGCATCAACACGGCGATTTTCTCTCGTCCTTCAATAACGACGTGAAAAATCTTATCGGTGAACGTGAAAGGATCCTATTAAAAATAAGTAGACAGAACATGTCTAAATTATTCAACGAAACATGTCTCAATGAAAACATGCTACCGAAACATACGATAATATGTGTGCGTGTATATATAAATCCCTGATTAGAAGGTATTTACATTTTAAGGTATTTACATTTTCTTAAGGTATTTTTACATTTTTAAGGTATTTACATTTTTTAAGGTATTTACATTTCTCACATGTTTCACTTGTTTTTAACTAGGTCTGGCGATTGAGTTCAAGCATGAAATAAACTTCTCCCACTCGGTGTTAACCCCAGTGTCCACTTTTATATTTACACAGGCTCTATCATACCTTAAAACTATATTTTTGGCGAATATATATATATATATATATATATATATATATATATATATATATTTTTAAATTTATAACATAAATATGTTATAAAATCACTACAAAATAGCCATTTTGTTTCAACACCCTCAGTGTCTTATCAAGTGATGATTTGAATATATATATATATATATATATATATATATATATATATATATATTCTAAAAGAAATGAATGGATTTATTGATTACTTAAATGTTATTTTTAGTGGATACTCGTATTTGAATAGATATTCTGCTCATTTATGAAACGCCATATTTATTCAGGCCGGTAGACGAAAATATATAAATATATCGCTCCCAATTTTCACGTAACTCAGTCTCCCAGCCCAGATAAGACAGCAATGCTCCATTTTTTATCTAATCTGACCCTTGTAAACGCAGGTGGCAGTCAGGTACATTCTGGAGCGGTATAGAGAGCCCCAATTTTTCCAGCGTCCGTATGAGTTCCACCTGAGGTCTGGAGGGAACTTCACTACCAGAGTCTCATGAAACAAAAGGGTCATGTCATGCTGATGGAGAGGTGCAGAAGTACTCCTGTCGCCAAGGTATTACCGATGGGCAGGCAACTCCAGAGGGGCCATAAACTCCAGTAGGGGGTAGGTTAATTCCATTGAGGGGGGGAATCAACTTCATAGGGTGTCCACTGGTACAAACGCATTTTCTCGCATGAAAATTATTCGGTGGGAGTGTCAGCTTTCTCTAATATCAGTCATTTATGTGTCATGCGTGATACACGCTTAGGCGATCACGTATCTTTCGATCTTGACTCACGAGGCAGATTTTTCCCGCAATAGGTTGTCATTTCTTTCTGCAGTAGACCAGTTGACATACAAGGCTATAGAACCCGGTCTGCCCTGCTATTTACGGTATGAATAAGGTATGAATCGTCTTATTCTCCCATCATAGCTGGGGGGAGAATAAGAGGATTCATACCTTTCCCAAGGATATTAGCATGTAAGTAAATGTAATGGATTTGACTAGAATTCGAACTCGGATTCCTCAATCCAAGCCGCTATCCATTAAAGTTGGCAAATTTATTTCTTACTGAGAAGAAATAAATAGACTGGGACATTGTCGCAAAGTACATTTGTATCCTTTTGTCAGGTATTTGCTAAAATACGTGGTGGTAGGCTGGTCGATTTTTCTTCCCTTCCCTGGAGAGAAACTAAAACACATCCTGTTAAATAACCAATCATTGGTAGGTAGGTAGGTAGGTAGGTAGGTAGGTAGGTGAACTTCAATGTTGCTACTGCCAAAATAGGGAATGGACGAGAGACAAATTTATTAAACTAATTAACATTTGAGGAAAGTATTGGTCACACAAATGATTCCCTGCAAGCCGCAGAAAGGCGCCTGCGATAAACGTTCAAAACATGGCGCCTCTTTGAGATCGCAACCATTTATTGTGACTCGTGACAACTTACAGAGTAATCGTATAACAATGTCGAAAAAGCATGAATCCAAAGAAGAACAACTTTAATTACTTGACTGCATTGTTGATCTCAACGTGTTTTATATTTCCGAACCTTCGAACTGGCCGGTCGCTTAACATTTGATGATGTCTCCTGCGTACTTTCCGAGATGTTGGGCAGCACAGTGACCATCTTGGGACCTTTTATATCCCGTTCAAACATCAAAACGTAACAAGAGTCGTCAGTAAAAATATGTCTCTGAAAAAAGAAAATAATTTCTGACTTTAATTCTGTGAAGTGAAATAACGTATTATTTTCCAAATTGGTTTCAAAAATGTTAGTGGTTAGTGAATACAAACTGCTACAAAGTCATTCCTCAATTAAATGCAGAAGTTCCCAGTGCCATATTTCCTGCAGAATGCCGAGAGAATCTAATTGTTGTTGGCTATAGTCCGAGCGTTAAATCTCGTCTGATAAGTGAAACTGGAATAAAAATCGAATTAGCAGTTCTCGTGACAATTTCAGTTTCCTTATTTCAATTTTCTGATTAGAAATAAAACAAACGAACAATTTAACTTGTAATAAAGCTTTATCCAAAGCAATTTGATTACTGTATATGAGATTCGGCTATTACTTTTTATAGCAGAGGAGTTGGAAGGGAAAACAACTATCAATGACTTCACTACACTAATAAATCATCCTATTATAATTGTGCTTGTCCTTCTCTTCGCTAGTTCACACGACGATTACGTCCTGCCAATATATCTCATACATAATTTTGATTACGTGGAAAGAGGGGGAAATGCATTACTTGGTTTCAGTAAGAAAACGCCGAGAAAGGATTGTATTTTCTTGCCGCCCCACGCTGGCAGGATGTGATTGGATGAGCGATGGCTGACATACAAGATTTTGGGTGAGCGATGGCTGGCACAGTGGGTGATCGATGACAGACACAGAAGAGAGTGGGTGATCGATGGCTGGCACAGAATAGAGGGGTGAGCGATGACAGACACAGTGGGTGAGCGATGGCTGACACAGAAGAGAGTGGGTGAGTGAAGGCTGACAAAGGGTGAGCGATGGCTGACACAGAAGATAGAGGGTGAGTGACGGCTGACACAAGAGACACTGGGTGAGCTATGATTGACACAGTAGAGAATTGGGTGAGTGTTCCTTGAGAGAAAAGAGTGGGTTCATGATGGTTGACAGTAAAATATTGGACAAGTGATAACTGAAAGAGAAAAGATTGGATAAGTGACATTATTTACCTGACCTCCCACAAGATGTCACCAGCTCTTTTATAGATCCTAATGTACAGCCAGTTAAATCAGAGCTACAGGAATGTAGGACGCCCATGGCTAAGATACAAAGACATGGAGCGGGTAGAATGGAGATCAACGTGTTTTAGTGGACTCAGAAATTTTCATTCTGCTTGTCTGAATCATCTTCAAGAAGCGAGAGCAAGATCTAAAAGGCCAACCAATCTAACAGTGAGCTCATCTCACAATCCTCACACTTGCTCCATATGTGGCCTCCTTTGTAAATCACTAGCGGGTCTTAAATGCCACTTAAGATTATCGCACAAACTTTCATAACTGAATCAATAAGCTGGCAGATCCTCATACGTCGAAACCGACGGGAGAGTCCATTATTATTATTATTTTTATTATTATTATTATTATATATGTTGCTAATACGTGTACACATGAGCCCAGGACAAAAAATTGTCCACTCCCTCCGTCCACCGTCACGCTTGCGTCGATATTACACTGGCCTTAACTATTTTATTCCAATGAAGAAGGTGCTGGCGCAGGATTCGAATCACCAGGACCAAGCGCTCTTTTCATTGATTAATGAAGGGAAAATACTACACAATGATCGTAGCCATGGGGCCAGGAAGCGATAAAAATCGATAAGAAGAAGAGATTGGGTGAGCAATGCCTGACAATGAATTAGGACGATTGTTGGATGATGGTAATATGCACCCAAACAAAGTACTGATAACGAGTAAGTTTCTCAATAAGTAACTTTTATTGGGCCCGTTCACCACACCAAGTTAAATTTTGCAACTAAATACATTTACTTTAGAAATAGTTTTTTTTTTTTATTTAAACGGCATATCAACGTTTGTTGGAAATAATAGTATCCCAAATTTCCAGGAATCGAGGGTGGGCTGAAAAGTACATATACTTGAGTGAAAATGTACACATATATTCGTGTTATATATGAGTTAAAAGGCGGGCATTGGTCAGGTTTATATTTGTCAAAAGGTAGGCATATGTCTAGTTTACATCTGATAACGTAGATATCGGTCAGGTTTACAAATATCGATAAAACTGGTCAGGTTTTCACATGAGTTAAATGGTCAGGCATCAGTCAGGTTTACACTTCTGCGGGCGGGCCGAAAAGCACATAGACTGATTATGAATGATTGGTGCTAGAGATGTGAAATCTTGTATGCATTAATTACAACACTTTTTATTAATAACTGCATTGTTTCTTTCCAGGTAAAATGGCCGTTCAAAGAAAAATTCACAAGTAATAAATAGCGACTTCTCTTGAAAATGGACAAAATTTGGCATCGTCGTGTTATGAAGTACCTACAGAAAAAGGATTTATCTTAAAATACATTCATACTGATATGGTTGCTATTCATGAGACTCATGAATATGACCCAAAGTCTGGATATTCTGAGACTGCCACTACCGAGAAAAAACATTGGTTGTGTTCACTACATATTGATGGATGACAGTCGATTGACTATAAAGCAAACAGCCAACGCACACACGCACACACACACACACACACACACACACACATATATATATATATATATATATATATATATATATATATATATATATATATATATATTCGTGAGAGAATTTAGAATATTCTGCGCAATGAACTTGGTATGACAATGGTTTCTGCACGGTGGCTTCACCTGATCAAAAGCGAACAGGCTGATCACATCACTGGAAAATATGACATTCTTTGAGGCGCTTCCAAATGGTTTCCTTGAACGTTTCCTAGCTCAAGATAAGTGTTGCGTTCATCACCTTGGGCCAGAGACAAAGAGACAATTCGTGGAAGCATCCCTCCTCACCTACTCCAAAGAAGGCCAATGTCGTTTCATTGATGATGATGGCCTCAGTTTTTTTTTTTAAATACAAAAGGCATTGTATTTATTGCCTTCTCTTCAAAAGGGCCACACCATCAATGGAGAGTACTATGCCAAATTGCCGAGGCAGTTATGAAAGGCTATCAAGACCAAATGCCTAGGAAAAAGGGGTCTTGTTTTTGTTTTGTTTTTCAGGAAAATGCTCTAGCACTCAAGGCTTTTGTGGTTACAATGGCTCATGTGCGTGACTGGTTGATTATCGATAACAATTTTTATAACTTGAAAATAAATTTGTGAATAATTGAAATTAATTGTGAATTTTATAAAATAAAAGTAATTGTTTGTACGGAAAGTAAGGACGTACGTACGTCAAATTGTCTTTAAATTAAGTGGCTGCAGAAGAATTATCGTTGGACTTTCAAAAGGCAAGATTAAATATTAATGCAATACTTAAATGCAGCGATTAATTTTGAGTTCTTCTGTAGTTTATTGTTGCCTATCGCATACGGCAGCAGTATGCCTCACAAAAAGAAATCCCCACCAACAGAGAACCACATTACAATCAAGAGGCAAGGCAGGGGCGAGGAAAAGTCCCGTGCATATGAAAATTCAGCCCAAACGGCAGCCAAGAAAACTTCCAATGCTGAGACTATGGAAATACTTAGGGACTCTCAAATTCCTGAACAAGGCTAATTCCCAATCATACCCCCTCCGCAAGAGCTAGCTTAATTGCCGTTGGACAGGGCGGCTTTTATGCTAATCTTTAATAAAAATGAAGTTATGGCCAATATTATATCTTTTTCTTTTCTTAATTTTTATTGAAAACTTTCTACCTCCTATGGCTGATGCTAACCTCCATGTGAGTGATTCATTGAGCCTTCTTGGCTAACGCTGACATGAAATCACAAGATTATATTGAATCAATTCCTAGGTCTGCGACTTGGAAAATTGATTCATTGTGTCATGCTAGATAATTTTTCTCGACAGAATCTATTTTACATATTTATAAGTTTGCCATATTGTTTGGTGACCATGCAACATATTAAGAGATCCTTGATTAAAATCCAAGGAAGAATCTGCAATGTCATTGGTCCTGTCATGGCATCTCGGCTTCAGACACTTTCTCATCGACTCAATGTAACTTCCTTTTGTCTTTTTCTATAAATACTTTTATAGAAATTTTTTCGAATGAACTTTTCTCTATATTACCGAGACTTTATGAATTTAAGCGCAGTTAAATTGTGAAATATTTAAAAATTATCTTTTCTGTTCAATATGTGATTGTTTAAATTTTACTTACATTGGCCAAACGTCTGGATCGATCTTCGAACGTGTAATAATCCATATATGGCGACTGCGCTTGTGACACTTCCGCTTTGAATTCTTTCATTAAACGTTTCCATTCTTCATTTTCGGATTCTGAAAAACAATTCCATTCTAAAGAATAAAAGGCATTCGATTCTGAAGAAGAAACAAATTTGATTCTAAAGAACAGATAATATTTAAATTTATTGAAAAAAGTTTGAACAAAGTAACTATAAGCAAAATATTTTTTGCTATTCTCTGCCAGCCACAATGATGGAGAAAGCATTACCTCGGACCATCGCCAGTGAGACACGCTGTAAGAGCCACTGCGTTTCGCGAGGCTCGTCCCTTAATCGAGACGCAATCACGCCAATCCTCCGAAGGAACGCCCTCGAACGACGGACAATAACCCCCGAAGTCTCCACTGCCACAGGAGTAAAAAAAAAATCTATCATCAAGAGATTTAACAATTTTTTTTTATCTTAACCGCGGACCTGATTATATTACCGACGAAAATGTATCCGCACAGGTCGCATCCCAAATCAACGACTTCCCCATTTTAAAAGGGAAAATGGTAATGCCATCCGGCCGCTTTCCATCGCCGCGGTCGAGGCCTACGGGTTCGATTTGGGAAGGGAACCCAGCTGCATCCAAACCTCTTCTGATGATGTCGTTAATGGCTGCATGCCGTGGAAAGCGGCCGGCACTACGATAGGAGAGAGGATGCAAACCAAACTCATCAATGGAAGCTCTACATCTACATCTGTGACGCTCACATAATTTGAGTCCAAGACGGATTGCGACTCCGACCTGAGTTTTATTCTGAAGAATAAAAAGTATTCGATTCTGAAGAACAAAGCTGTTCACTTAGAACTTGTTTTTTTTTCTTTGTTTTTCTTTTTGATTTATTAAATATTATTGTCTGTCAAAATATCTGTTGTGGGAATCATTCATTTGTTGCTTGAAGTGTCCTTCGTTTTTCAATAAACATTTAATGGCTCCTTTTTATGGAAGTTAAACAGCGCTACCTAACGAGCATTTTGGCGAAGCGAAATGGGGTAATTGTAACAGAAATGTTGACAGCCTTAGATGATTTTGGCATAGACAAGATTACGGAAATAAGAAATTAAATATATATCGGAAGATCTCATCAGATCTATTTTATAGCATTGCTTAAGAAACCAGGCGCAAACGAATGTGAACTCTACCGGACAATCAGCCTCATGAGCCACGTAACAAAACTCATCATCCGTATTCTGATGAATAGAGCGCACAGCAGAATCAAGCCAGAGATAGGATAAGAACAGTGCGGGTTCGTTAAAGACACCGGAACAAGGAACGCGATATTCATGGTCAGAATGGTATCAGAAAGAGCAATACAAATGCAGAAGAACGTGCACCTGTGTTTTATAGACTATGCAAAGACGTTCGACAAAGTACGCCACGAAGATCTGTCCGAGCTGCTCTGCAACCTTAACATATTCGGGAAAGATTAGAATAATCAAAAACCTCGCCTGGCAGCAAACCGTCTGCATAAAGCTAAAAAAAAATGAGTTCAGCAGATGTACAAAAATAGAAAGGGTCGTGAGGCAAGGATGTGTCTTCTCACCGGACTTATTCAACCTATACAGTGCGCCCATTCTGAGAGAACTGGAAATGCTACCAGGATTCATCATTGGCAGCCACAATCTTAGTAACATAAAATACGCAGATGATGTCATCTGAGTATCTTATGTGCTGATAACAGACACGGAAAAGAAATTACAAAACCTTCTACAGAAGGTAGCGAGGGAGAGTGAGAAGAAGGGACTAAGTATAAACTACAAGAAGACAGAATGCATGGTCATCAGTAAAAAGATGAGCCCGAAATGCGATTTACAGGTCGGGGACATTAAAATCAAGCAGACGTGGAAATTTAAATATTTGGAAAGCGTTCTGACAGAGGTCGGTAAGTACGACACCGAGATCCGAAGACGTACTGGGATGGCCAAAGACGCATTCCAAAAGCTAGACAGAGTATTACGAGAGAGGAGGGTTTCGTTGGTTCCAAGAAAAGAGTACTGAACTGCTACGTGATATCTGTCCTCCTTTACGGTAGCAAATGTTGTACAATCTCCTAAAAGATAAAGAAGAGACTTGAGGCAACAGAGGTATAGTTCTACAGAAGGATGCTAAGGATACAATGGACCGAATATGTGAGCAACGATGAGGTCTTGGAGAGGATGCAAATAAAGAGGAAACTTGTAATTAACATCAGGAAGGGGCAGCTGAAATTTCTGGGACATGTAATGAGAAAGGAGGGCTTAAAAAATCTGATACTCACAGGGCGGATAGAGAGGAAAGGAAAAACAACGCGTGACGGGCTTAAGCAAGTGGATGGCAGAACAAGGTCTGGGAGAAATAACAAAGAGACAAAACTTGTTGAGAGCTGAAAGTGACAAGATGAAGTGGAGAGCCATGATCGCTTATGTCTTGAAGGTACACGGCCCATAAATGGCAAATAAAATTATGAGGAAAAAACGTCTTGCGATCTCTGAGGACAAGTGCTCATCGTAGACCAAATTTGATCCCCCCGCCCCAGCCTATCACCTCATGATTTCGGCTTGAAAAGAGCCTGTCAGTTGGGCTTCTTTTACTGTCTGGGTCTCTATTAGAGCTGCTTGATATTCTTGGATTTTCGAACAGGGACTTTTTATTATACAGTATTTTTTGATTATAGGCACTGTGGAGTAATGGATAGCGACTTGGTGTGCGGTAATCGGAGAGCCGAGTTCGAATTCCAGTCGAGTCCATTACATTTACTTACGTAATCCCTTGCGTGCTTGTGGCATCACGCCTTGCTTGATGTAAAATGCTTAAATATGTGTGTGTGATTGTATATATATACTTCTTTTTTTTAAAGTGTTTCACCCCAAGCTAGGCGGGAATTCACTAGGACGCAAGGGGTTACAGAAGATCTGATCTTGCTCCAAATCTTCTGTAACTCTTTGCGTCCTAGTGGATTACCGCCTTGCTTGGGGTGAAACGCTTAAAATATATATATATATATATATATATATATATATATATATATATGCGCCTCGAGAGGAGAGGAACTTGGACGAGGCTTTGGCGAAAGGCAAAGTTTCGTCCGGGGAGGTAGTCAGGCCCTGGACCCGTTTATGCGGGTTCTAAGTGAATGTTTTTTGGCCAAGCCTACGGGCTCGGAGAACCCACGGTAAACTAGGCCTTGTGCCACATACATCCCTCGTGCGTGGTTGTTAAATATAACAGTCGAATAGATTGTTCAACCGAGGCTGTGACTTTTCACAGATGCTGTCGAACTCTCTGCCTTTGGCCGAAAGGAACCCAGACGAGGCTTTGCCGAAGGCCAAAGTTCGTCCGGGGAGGTAGACAGACCCTGAACCCGCTTATGCATGTTCTAAGGGAATATTTTTGGCCGAGCCTACGGGCTCGGAGAACCCACGGTAAACCAGGCCTTGTGCCACATACATTCCTCGTGGGGGGGGACTGTTAAATATTAACAGTCGAATAGATTGAACGCTAGCTCAACCTACACACATTCACTAGTCGTGTAATACTCTTCTGTTGTACTTACTGTTTAATATAGAATATATCTGTAATACTGGTTTTGTTATTTCTTTAACCATTTACTTGGTCACAACACATATATTGTTTGATTGCTTGCTCGATATTATTTCATTTTTGCCCTGTTCCTTTTTCTTTTTATTTCAAACTTTGTTAATTCTGTTTGTTAGACAGTGTTGATATTTATTTTGCATTTGACCCTGGCTACTCTCTCCACAACCCCCCCCCCCGTGATACATCGCTACCAGAACTTGTCGATAAATAAAAATAAATAAATAGGAATGCTTGCCATTTGCCGACTGTAAACCTTGGGCCGCATCTGTTTCTTCTTTACCTCGACTTCTTTGACTGCGAACGGGAGTGGTCTTTCGGTTTTTACCTTGAAAAAACGTGTATAAAAATTCAAGATATAAAATTTTAAAAAGAAAGTATTAATAAGCCATTATATCAGGCATACACCCAATATT